GAGTTGCCTCACCGACACCACTAAATCCGTGACGTTTCACAACGCCTTGGAAACCTTTACCTTTGGTTGTGCCTATTACGCTTACTTTTTCGCCTTCGGCAAAAATCTCGCAAGTGATAGACTCACCGAGTTGTTTTGAGATGGAACAGTTACGAAGTTCTTTTACTACAGACTTAGGCGTAGTGTTTGCCTTAGTGAAGTGATTGATTTGAGCTTTTGGCGTGTTTTTTTCTTTAGCTTCGCCATAAGCAATCTGTAGCGCGTCATATCCGTCAGAGTCGACGGTCTTAATTTGCGTTACCACACAAGGTCCAGCTTCGATGATGGTACAAGCTGTTTGCTTACCATTGGGCTCGAATATGCTGGTCATACCGATTTTTTTACCTATAATACCTTTCATTTTCTTATATTTTGAACCAAGCGCCTAGTTGTCAATTGTGTGGACTAGGATTGGTGTTTTTTTTCAAAAAACTAAAGAACTTTTTATTCTTCTTTTATTAATTACTTGGGCTTTCTGAGCCGAAGCAAGCACTCTTATTCTATTTTGCTATTATGCCTTGATTTCTACTTCTACACCACTTGGTAGGTCTAGTTTAGATAGAGCGTCCACTGTGCGAGAAGATGATGTATAGATATCTAACAAGCGTTTGTGGGTGCACAATTGAAATTGCTCACGAGCTTTTTTGTTAACGTGTGGCGAACGCAACACGGTAAATATTTTCTTCTCGGTAGGCAATGGAATAGGACCTGTAACTACAGCTCCTGTATTGCGCACTGTTTTTACGATTTTGTCTGCTGATTTATCAACAAGGTTGTGATCGTATGATTTCAGTTTGATTCTGATGCGTTGAGACATAATTTCAAATAACTTTATCCGTCAAAAATTTCGGACTGCAAAGGTAAGGGCTATTTTGTTTCTACCAAATTTATTTTTAAAATTTTTTCGATGTTTTGAGATTATTTTTATGCCCATAGCCTATAATGGCTATGGTAAAGGCTTTAAGCTCAATTAATTATTTTAAAAGGGGTGATTTTTGGTCGGATTTAGCGAGTAAATAATGCTGCTGTTTTAACAAGTTACACTATACAGAATGCCAAATGGGCATCAATACTGATAAAGTAGTTCCGATGCAGAGTGTAATGTTGTTTTGATGAGCGGAACTCTGCCTTGGAGTATTTTATATGCATCCCTTGCAGGATGGGCATTCTGGGTTGTCACCAACAAATTGATACACGTGGAGATGTTTGAATTTATTAGTGGCTGTTTTTAGAGCTAAAAATAAAGCGAGAGAGACATTTGCCCCTCTCGCTCTGATTATTCTTTCGTAAATCATTATTGATTTTTATGGTTTTATGCTTGCAAAACCTACTAATAACAAGATTGATATATTACCCTTCTACCTTACCTCAACTCAACTTCACACATCTTTACATTATTGCTACACTTATAAAAACTCATAGTGTTACTGTTTGAAGGCTTGCTTACGCTGTCCCCAATTTCAATATTGTATTCTTTTACCTCCCAAGCGATAGGCAAACTATTAAACTGTTGCTTATAATTGCCTCTTGAAACTTCTAAATAGTATGATCCACGATGTTGGTCTTTTAGATCAGAAATGTGGCCGAACAGCTCTAATCCATACAACCTCTGCATTTGTTGATTGAATTTATCATCTGCATGAAAGCTAAATACAATATTTGCAATCACAAAT